TAGTTCAGGGATAGATAGAGACTATTAAGTATTAAGTATTAAGTACTATTTAATGTTCCAAGCCAGTGCTAATATGTTAATGTCTAAATTATAATTATTGTTTGAAATGTGTGTAACCCAAGGGAGAGGGCTTGTATATGCATAGCCTGTTGCCCAATTCCCATTGAATCATTTGATTTAATAANAAGAGGGCTTGTATATGCATAGCCTGTTGCCCAATTCCCATTGAACCATTTGATTTAATAAAATATTTTGAAATTAAAAACGGAAACGTTTTATATACGGAAACGTCTTATACAAGTACGGAAACGTCTTATACAGGTACGGAAACGTCGTATACGAGTACCGAAACGTCTTATATACGTAAACGTCTTATACAAGTACGGAAACGTCTTATATACGTAAACGTCTTATACAAGTACGGAAACGTCTTATACAAGTACGGAAACGTCTTATACAAGTACCGAAATGTCTTATATACGTAAACGTATTATACAAATTCGAAACGTCTTATACAAGTACGGAAACGTCTTATACAAGTACGGAAACGTCGTATACGAGTACCGAAATGTCTTATATACGTAAACGTCTTATACAAATACGGAAACGTCTTATACAAGTACGGAAACGTCGTATACAAGTACGGAAACGTCGTATACGAGTACGGAAACGTCTGTACTCCAGGTCAAATGGTCATGGACGAGCTGTCAACACATCAGGATAGGTCCAAACATCCGGTTACAATTTCTCTCCATCCTTTGGTAGATTAATTAAATGGTTTATTGTGCTATAAAACAGAGCTGGCAGGCGCGTCAGTAGTGTCTTGTACACCGACCGGTACGCAAGAAAATCCATCAAATTTTCATAACAAAACAAAAACACTGCTTGCTGTTTCCCAATGTCCCCCTGCCAAGGCTCTCAATGGATCCGCTCCTGAATAAATCCACTCCGAACAAGGGCTTGGTAAGCCCCTGGATTATGTTTTGATTTATTGTGGCACTGTAAAATAATTCAGTTAGTGTAGCATTCACAAAATAGAGTTGGACTATGTGTTACGTACGTGTTGTTCCAATTGATGTTATAGCTAGAAAGGTACACATTTCTGGTTTTATAGTCTTTGGATGGTAAAAAGGTAATGTGTTACTACTAACAGAGTGTTACACGTCTAATACTACTCTCTACATATAAAGATATGTCACAGTCATTTGTTTTTGTCAATAAAAATAGTCCTCACAAAAAATAGTCATGAGAAAAAAATACACCTCACTCATAAACATATATCTCAGGACTAATTTTTTTTGAGGACTTTTTTTTTGACAGAAACAAAAGCCTGTGGAATATGTCGCAAATTATCTGATCCCTGGCTGTGTAAATAATCATTAAACCTGCTAAAAATAATCGACATAAATAAGAAGACTCACTCTCATCTGTTAATAAACCGGAATTGTTACAATATAGACATGTATTGGAACTCCCGCAGATGAAGCTTGCACTCGATGAACTCTGCATTGGGAACATCCTCGATATTCCAGGGTTTAAGTTCTCTTATACGTTACCTGCATCCATGGAGTATGTCATAACAAAGTCATAGTCTCAGTGTGCGCCACCTTGTGGATAAGACAAGTAGACTAGTTTGATTCCCTTGATGTACATCAAAAGAATCTTGAGGCTGCGTAACGGTAAAATCAATAGGCTTTGAAGTCGGCTATCGCTCCTCTATATATCTGTAATCTACAAAGGAGAGGTATCAGCCAAGCTAGCGATGAGTCACGTTTTTTTGACCTGATACCAATCAAATAACTAGCCGCGTCCTTTCAATTTTGCTATAACACAGTCCAGGGGCGTAAAGAATGCCGAACGTAACCCCTGTAGTGTCGAACATGGGGTATTGCTATCTCTTACGTTATTTGTTCTTCTTGAATAAGTCATGACAGAATCGAAGGCATGTAGTTAGCTTATAAGATTGTTTCGGGTATAAAAAAAATCTTATCCAATTTCTAGGCTGATACCTGTCATTTGAACATTACAGAAGACACTGCTATATAAGTAGTCCAATAGTCCAATAACAACCAGCAATAACACATACAACAAGAATTGATATAGGCCGTTATATCGTTTAGGATTGACCTTAGGGCAAACTTGTACGAAAGGTGATTAAACAGTGATAAGCGCTATCTTGCCTGTGTGTGTTTCTTTAAAATGCAACCGTAAACTGATTAAATACGTTCCATATATAGCAAATACAGTAGAGTAAAATTACATGCACAATAACGATTTTTTACCTTGTGTATTGACTGATTCATTAGAGGTTGAAAACTATCGTTAAACAGTGATTACACTTTTGATTCTGACCTTGCCCTTTTTATGGTGACGTCGTAGCATTTTGTTTTGTTTCTATTTAAATTTAACCAATTTCACAAAGACAAAACAATATAGCATTTTCCTTCTCCGTTTTTTTTTTCTATTTCATCTTAGGATCGAAGAGAGGCTATTCCGTCTTTGCGTATTGCAGAGTTATCTTCTCTTGGGAGCAGGTATGGATTGTTACGTCATTGGTTTGTGTGAGAAAATTACGTCGTTTTCTCAAAAATTGATGACGTTACTCTCACAAACCAATGACGTAACAATCAATACCTGCTCACAAGAGAAGATAACTCTGCAATACGCAAAGACGGAATAGCTAACCACACAAAGTAAGAGCCCATTCGACATTTAGGTATGACATGTACCATCCTTATAATTACTAGTACACTAAAATCAAGGCAGGGGCAAAAAGGGCTCCAATCAAACACGCCGGAAATATCCTGACTGGAGAAAAAGGTGGATATAGGATACTCTAGATAAATTGTCTGGATGTCAGTAAGTAGAAAAGGTGGAGTCTATGGAAGAAAAAAACAGTAGGTACTGTGGGTGCCAAAATCCATTCAACTGTAATCATTTCGTAATCAAACCATACATATTTAATCTGTCTTGTTTGATTTGAAACATTGCGATGGTGCAGTATTGAGATATTTTGGTTTTCATTTCTGGTAATCATTCATATTCTACGAGAAAAAACAATTGGAAGAAAAAAATGATGGTATTGTAGCCAAAATCATTCATCTGTAACCATTCTGTAAACAAACCATATAGATGTTCTATATATATTATATATATATTTATCCCGCCTCTGACAAAAATGTAGCAATTTCATTGGCTGGCGCGAACCTCATACAAACCCGTATTATGCTACCTGCAGGGGGTATATTTTCCATATTACCCCTCTGTGGAGCCTCACTATCGTGACGTCATGACTCCATGTTTTCGTGACGTCACACCGACGACAGACGACGTAAACAAACATGGCGGCGAGGTTTGCTTCAAGAAACGATGATGAAATCAAGAGAATAAGGACGGATCTATCTTCTCGCAACACACAAAAAAGCAACAAGAGATCGACAACAACACTAAAAGCCTACTTAACGGAGAAACAGCAACCATCCAATTTCAAAGCGTTCGACAAAGTCGCACTAAATGAGACGCTGTCCCACTTTTACATGGACCTCCGGAAACCGGACGGGAAAATGTACAAGGCAACCAGTGTGGAAAACATTCGCCACTCACTGGCGGCTTATTTTCTGATGAAATAAATAAAAAGTCATCGGCGGGATAAATTCGCAAGTGACTATGTAACTAATAATATCTGATCAGTCTCGTTTGATTTGAAACATTACATTGAGTGCAGCGTTGAGATATTTAGTTTTGAATTTCGTGTAAGCATTCATATTCAACGGGAAACATGTTTCAGTAAATTTTTAGGTTTTTTTAGAAGAATTATTTCAAAAGCTGTTAAAGATATCCTTTACCCTTGTAGATTAATATCAGGACCCAGCCTCTCAGAGGAGTCGTCAAAGCCACCCCTGTATTGAGTGTTTCTGTTTTGTAGTCAAATACATTTTGTATGAAACATCTCGAAAATCGAAAAGCTATTAATTGCATATTTTTCGGCAATGTTTTTGTTTTCAAAGGTGCATAAATTGGCCTATTTAAATTCATTTGAGATGAAACACGGCATTTTATTGGCCAGTCGAAATAATTTGAGACGGGATAAACACGATATATCATCTGTAAATTTTACATTCGCTTATAAGGCCCGGACGGCGATTGTTAATGACGTCAGTGACTCTGACTGACCCCTCCAAGTCATGAAATTTATTATTATTGGCGTCACGAACAATAGCGAGACACCAAAAAGGTCAATGTAATTCCGCCTCACTTTGAATATTCCTGACGTCACCAATCCACGGCAAAGTGACCCGTACAGAAACATCTTCAAATCGTCGTTTTAGTCGGTGATTTAAGATGAAATGAATTAGAATGGGGATTATTCTACTGTATTTATCGTGATTATACTGTCGCAAATATCTGCGGTTCCTGTCTACGTCGCCAGTAAAATAGTAAAAATGCAACAGTATGATCACGATATATTACCGCAAAACGTAAAATACAGTAGGGTTATTCCGCCATTCGCGAGGTTTTAGATATTTGCGACAGTTTGATGCGTCGTCCGGGTGCACATTTGCTACATGTTTAAACTTGCTACGACTCTTTTCGATAATGAAGGGTCCCTGTCCCAGTTCGGGAAAAACATGTGACAATTTCACCTCATACATGTACAGTAGTCTTTTATTAGGTTCGTTTTCGCGGTGGCCAAGTGGTTAAGGCGTCTGACAGTCTGCTACCACTAGCCCTCCACCACTGGGTCGCGGGTTTGAGACCTACGTGGGACAGTCGCCAGGTACTGGTCGTAGGTCGGTGGTTATTCTCCGGGAACTCCGGCTTTTCCTCCATCACCAAAACCTGGCACGTTCTTAAATTACTATATCTGTTAATAGGACGTAACCCCCCCCCAAAAAAAAACACCCCGTTTGAAATATTACTGTACATTTTCGCAGTGGTCTGCTTGCTTAACCTATAATTCTGTTCCGGATAAAATTGTGGAGAAAAAACAAACTAAGATATACGTTTGAAAATTGATACCATTTATTAATTAATCTAATCTTCATTACTAATTCTGAATGATATTTTATGGACAATATCTTTCAGGTTTGTTTGCATATTGCCAACTATATAGACAGAACACATATTAAACAACAAGATATTACGTTATGATAAAGCTATCATGAAATAAGACTCATATTTAGTGTTTCATTTGGAATATAACAGTCAATTTTGTTTTGTTTTAAAATTTCATTAGAGGAATTACAAATGAAGTTTAAATACAAATTACTTCCATTTTTGTCAATATTTTTGCCCGACTAATTTTATATCAACTATCTTTACTCAATATGAATTCCTGCTGGAATTTTGACAATATGTCATTATCTGATACATGTACCACCAAAAAACAACATTTAAACGTGCCGGAATAAAAGAAAAATATTTAGACATGGACTTGACCGGTGATATTCAGTAATTAAAAAGGTAACATTCATTAAGTAAAACAACGTTCATCGGTGAAGTTGATTGCCTAAAAATGTATGTGTGTTTTTGTGTGTTAAATACAAACGTCGATGCAAAGGTAATTCCTGCTTCCCTTTATCTGAAAGTAGACTCATCCTTTATATTATTATGAAACCAAATAATCCTGCAACGTAACATTTAACCATGGAGAGGACTTTTAGAACGTATCAAGGTGGAAAGATATTTCTTCACATGAACGTGATCTTACACGAGTTGTTATTTGATATGAGATTTATGAAATGTTTAAGAATTTTAAGAATTTCAAAGTAGCCCGTAGCGTCGATATGGGGAATACTGGAATCATCTGGTCCGTCTACCTGTCCTTGGTTAAAAGTTTGTACAGAGAACTTTTCCTAAAGGATGTACGTAACACGCACAGATGGCTGCACTTAACTTATGCAGGATCGATGCATCATGTAATAGCGCACCTGACATTTGCATTTCGAGCTCGACATTTTCGCGGTGTAATTATTTGTTTTGAACTAATGATACACAGGCAATATACTTTATATTAACTGGCTAACTTTAATTATTTGGATTCAAGATGGCCGCGATGGCAAATGATTGGCTGAGACTTATATTGAGTTCTATCGGGCCAGATTTGTTAATACTTTGAGGTTCAGATGTATAAGGGATACACATTTCATTTAAAGACTGATTTTATGACAGGGCAATGTTTACAAAACTTCAAATTCAGCAGGAATTAATCTTTAATAAAAAAAACCAATCTGGATCTTTGCAAAAAAGAAAAAAAGAGATATGAACAATTCAAACTTAATAATCATAGCAGAATATATACTTAACTCTTAACCAAATTGTAAGTATAATGCTTAAGGTAACTGTAACTCTAACACAAATCACAGGGGAAATGTGTAAGGTGGTAGGTAGTTTATATCCTTAACGTTAACAAAAGTTTTTAGTTTAATGTGCATGACAGCAATTATCTATAAAATCTTAAATAAAATATGGGTATTATGTGTGTAAAAACATCATCAACTAATGAACATCATTCAAAATCATTCCCGATTCAGGCTTCTAAATAAGCATTCAAAACATCTTCTTTACTCATGCTTACAATTTTTTTCTTCTTTCCAAAACATGATAAAACATGATTTGGCATATTAGATAAGCATTGCCCCAAGTAGGCTTCGAACCCACGACCCAGTGGTGGAGGGCTAGTGGAAGCAGAATGTCAGACGCCTTTATCACTTGGCTACCGCGTAACTAAATACTGATAGAGATTAAACATATTACAACAGCCTACTCTGTTACTTTCATGACATCATGAACTAGATTAAGCAATTATATTGAAAACGTTCTGAACTACCCTGGTATGATTTGTGACATAAACTTTCATCTTCTCCATATAAACTTCATTCTTAATGTCGTAGATGAATAATTAAATAAATAAAAAAAAAATATCCCAAAACCAACAACAGCCTAAAATCATGGATAAAATTCATCCTCATTAACAAAGCAATTACTGATGTTCTTGCTTATAGCAAATACAAAGTCTTGTCTACTGGTCAAGTATTGGTATAAAGATACATTGACCATTAATGTGTAATAGTCTATAACACAATTAATTATTCTAATTATTATGCGTAGAATTTCTCACAACAATGTCCAAAGTATGTATAATTAAATTGGACGAGATTTGTTGAAATATGTCTGTGTCCTGTCACGCCGTGACTCGCTCGAAGTAACGTTTGCACACCACTTTCCCGCATTCTATTTGCTGCAAAGAAAACAAAATGAAGCAAAATAAACGTGAAATAATTAAAGATATCACAACCAGTAAGCATAAATTACAATGACGTATAAGGTGGCATATATCCTTAAGTCTAACACAAATTAAAATTACAATGTGTGGAATGATGATGACCAGCAATAATAAATATTAATTGGAAAATAAGTGATACGTAAACATCCATTTTATTGTTAAAGATAAAGAGAGCAATGGTCTCTAATGTAGTGATTTCTCTTTGCTATATTGCTTTCAAGGCCTTAACTTTATTTTGCAGTAAATTTTCAGCTAGATGATGACTTGCACTTACTACTGATCCTTTAACATATTATGGTCAATTTGACTATTTATTCATACGTAAGCAATTCAAACGAGTTTTTCATGCTAGACTGAATTCAACAAAAATCACCTCTTTTATCATTTTGTGTTACTGTTGAATTTTCGAGGTTGATATATTAAAAAATATTTTGATGATGAAATGTTAAATATCTGCATAATACCGTATTCTCCAGAAAAAACATCTCCCAATGTGTGAAGAGCAAGGACTGTATTCATAAGAATAAACTTACAACAAGTAGCTCCTCGCCAAAGCGCTCCCTGTAGACAGTCTGTGGTTTAACGGCAGACTCCTGGTCTATTGGAGTATTGGTATACTTCAGCTTACCATCTTCATACACAACCATACACTGAAAAAACGTACTCAAAATTTTAAGACATTTTTATATCTTCAATATTGCACAAATTTTGAAAACTATAAAAATGTCTTGTACTTTCTACAAAAACAATGTAAATCTGATGCAGTGTGTATACGCTCCCTATCGTTAGGCGAAACGTCTCGGGTCGAGTGACATACAATTCAGTCATAGCTTGCCAAACGGACCTGTCGGTCTTGAAACGTTGCGATAAGTTTAAAACGTGTAGAAAGTAAAATTTTGATATCAAGACATTTTTATAGTTTTCCGTGAAAGTACAGGAACAAAGGAGATAATGCATTGCTCAAATGCTTTTTAGGATGTCATAGTAGAGATGTTAGTCAAATGAATATGATTTATAACTGCTTATTGAGAAACAACGAGTAAATATATTATGTTGAGTAGATAATAATAAAACTATTAGATGTGTCATGTTACATCATCCTTACTCTTTATGTCACAATCACATCCGCGCTATTTCATGACGACATTACAGTAATTAAGGTTATTATCGCGGCTTATTTTTACGCTTGTCGTATAATTCTGTGAATTATCAATCTAATTAAAATTATATCTTCACATTGCTCCCGTTTCCTGATATGTCGTGTTACCAGGAAACGGGAGCAATGTGAAGATATAATTTTAATTAGATTGGTGAATTATATATTCGCGATCACATTAATGACCCGCAAAATCGGGAAAATATCACCCCCACGAAAATATCCTTCTATATTTATATAAATATACCGTATATATCATCTTTCTTTTTAAGTTTATTTGTTATCATATATGTCCTTATGTATAGGAATGATCATTGTTTGAACGGTTTCATTTGAATACAGTCACTAGAAAAAGTAATACAAAATCATTGTAGTCATTATAGAAATAAATTTTAAACATTATTTATCTTAAAACAGTTATAAGTTTGATCAACTCATGTTGGCCTAGCTAGAAGTGCAAATTTAATCACGAGAAGTAAAGTTAATCTTACCGTGGTTGAGATAAATATAGTATGTCACCTTATTCACGCATATAGGGTATTCTAAACAACCTTTTATTTCATACATTTTTTTTTATGAAACAGGCTTAAGCGAGTTTCACAAAAAAAATCTGATGGGAATGGAACAAGTTTAAGATTCTGTTTATCATTTGATTAACTACATTATTTTACAGTATTTTGTGAATATTAGACAAGATAATCTAAGGGATACACCACTTGTTTGTGGATTTGCAACATAAACGTACTATTCCTCGTGCCATCATGATAAGTGACATTACACATGTTAGTTTATGAAACGTGTATGTGAAGGCACTGCATTACAAGTATAAAGGATAAAAATAATCATTTTCTATGATGGTATCTTACCTCCATTTTTGTTCCTTCCATCTCTTTCTCAATTTTTTCGTTTAATTTGAACGTATCCACCTTATCTCGGATTCCAGTTTTCTGTTCTATAGTGATCGTTTCATCTTCTACAGATATTACGGTAGTAGGTTTCGCCAGTGCCGCCATTTTCCGAATAAAGAAATTTACCCCTGAAAAAAATAAGGACTTGTGATATGTATTATATAAACCTTATTAATTCATTTATCAGCAATTACTACCTTATATTTATCAATTCTGCAGCCGGAATGGAAGCGTGCAGAGAGTCTAAATGAGGGAGGAAACCGGAGTACCCGGAGAAAACCTATGTGATCAGGCAGGTTACATTTTCACGACTGATCATGCAATTGAACGCCGGTCGTCTTGGTGAAATGCGTGTGTGTTATCCACAGCGTCACACGATCAAAGGATTTATGCATGGGAATATGTTGTAGCTACAATATTGTATTTTTCTCAACCAACAGAGTTGCAAAGGTCGGACTCTGAAACCCTGATGGAGCAATAGAAAGATTGGCTGCCTTGGCATATGATAACAGGTATTTTGGAAAAGATAGCTGTCACCTTGTTGAATAGTCATCCACATATTCTTAGAAAGGCAAAAAAAAAAAAAAAAAAAAAAAAAAAAAAAAAAAAGAAAGAAAAAAAAGAGTGACACAGCCAAATACACGTATACAACATCATTTATATGAATACTGTCTGAACTAAAAATCAATACAAATGAATGCATCAAGACCTGTGGAGAAATCAACACAATATATAATTGTTTTTCCATTTTCTCCTTACACGAATGTTTAAGGATCATTGTCCTACTGCATGATGGTTCTTCATAGATACAGTAACCTCCCCTTAACTTCCGTTTGGATATAACTGTAGCACAATTGGGCAAGGAAACATCTGTGGACAAGGTAGCTCAATCGGCTACAGCGATAGTATTTCAATCTGAAATCGAGGGCTCGAACCCCAGTCTAACCTAGCTGATACTCTTGCGTTCAGAATACTGTTGTTGATGATGTATTGATTATTTCATCTTTAGAATTCCAAATAAAAGTCGCAAAAAGTATGGTTTTCTTTTCAGAACTATTTTTTTCGAAGCTATAGTCTGCAAGTAAAATCAGTTTCTAACACTAAGTTACAGTTTTTTTGCAATAATACTGGACCTGCAATATTGGTAGCGTTTGAGGTAATTTGAAGTGGTGATTTTCAAACGGGCCATGTTTATATTTCTTCTAACATTATTATAGTGTTATAGAGTATTATTCAAACGAAAAGCCCTGAAATGTACATACAAAGAGTAAAAGCATCACCACCAGTTTTGTATGAATGAAATCGATTTGACAAGGAATGTCGGTAACAGCCGTATATCCTTTACCTCAAACCAGCATGCCTATCGATCTTGATCTCCACAACCTACCTAACACACTGAAAGAATTATCTTTAAAGAGATTGACTCCTATTTATCAGAAAAAAATGAATTCTTACAAACGTCCCCAGATTAAGCTCCATCGATTTGTACAATTGAGGGTTAAAGCTCTTCATAGACAGCAAAACCTTTCGGAAATGACAAGGCCGTAGTATTGATTACTAGGTATCACATGATAGGATTGAACATTTTCGACGGGAAGAGCAAGTTATTTATGTTGCACAAGTTAGAATATCACCGACATGTAAAAGTATGGACATGTTTCAGAGCATACAGTGTTTTGTTAGATGTAATATACTAGTAGCGTACTATGAGTGTGTATGGTCATATAATGTTTATTTTTTTATGGAGGCACGGTAGTCTAGTGGTAGGACGCCGGGCTCGTGACCAAAGGGTTGTGCATTCGAGTCACGGCACCACGGCACGGCACTGTGTTGTATCTTTGAGCAAGATACTTTACTCCGCTTGTTCTAGTCTACTCAGCTGTAAATGAGTACGTGGTTGGGCAGTGCTAGATTTGTTGAATGCTAGCTGTGATAGCCGCAATGGCAGCACCGGCTGTATGCTCCCCAGGGAGTCGAGAAAGATATTGGCTGGTTGCAACGGCCCTATAACCATGGATAATAATTCGTGAACCGCTTTGAGACGACCTACGAACTAGGTTGTGTTAAATTAATATTATTGTTATGATGTTTTATGTATGGTTAAATTAGTGATGTGCCCTCGCCCAATATGCATCTTAATGACCCACTATATGTTCAGACAGAGGATCAGCAACTAGCCACATAATACATTAGGTGCACCAGGAACCATTGAAATGGTATCTTATTTATTTTACCACATGTGTTTTCTTATTTCATCGAATTCAAGTCAAATCAGGTGTTTTTGCTGTGGATGACGTCATTTCATTGTGACATCATACTGATGACATACAAAAGTCTTACTAAGCTGTTAAGAAAATCAGAGGACTAACAAGTGATAACGGAGAAGATTTCCGATTTGTTAAGCATTTTTCTTAAGCAATTAAGTATCAATATTAACGCATTTTAATAAAAGGTTGTTGACAACCCATTTTCATGTAAGATTGTTAGTAACCCATTTTCATATTGTTATCAACCCTTTTTCATATTACATATTGTTATCAACCCATTTTCATATACCATTGTTATCAACCCTTTTACATAACATTGCTATGTCAACCCATTTTCATGTAAGATTGTTATCAACCTTTTTACATAACATTACTATGAACTCTTTTTCATATAGCATTTTTATCAACCCATTTTCATTTATTAAGATTGTGATCAACCCATTTTCTTGTAAAAGTTTGATCAACCCATTTTTGTGTAACATTGTAATCAAACATGCGAAATTAAAGTACAAATTTTGTGACTGACTATGTTCATTTCAATTTGCAAAATAATATCAGCAATACTTTGGCAAAACTATCATCATTCTATCATAATTCTTACGCTCGAACACAAAGAATAATATGTTTACTCTTTGTTAACATAGTATTCTTTGTGTTCACGTGTAAGAATAATATTCAGGTACAAGTTACCATAAACTAGTAATATATAGGATTTACTAATGTAATGATATAATATAAATTTTATAGGCTGGTTTCATTACTACATAATGTAGTTGTGGAACGTCATAATATGGACAAATGTCCTATGACGTCATGTTATGATAGGTCAACTAATATTTGATTACATTGATAGGACGTCATTTAATGATCAGTTCATAAATGTTAATTTTGCAGCATATGTAATGAATTATGAAATATTAGTGTTGAAACTTATATTTATTCCTCATCATGACACGTGAAATTGTTTTGAGTACAGCTCGTTTAAAAAATCTCTAAATGAAAACGTATCAATTCGTTTTATAGAAGGCAAGTGGTTATACTGCTCGCCACCTCCGCATATCTACACACATCTTTGTAAACAAACCACACAGTTAGTTCACGTCGGCACGTACACACAAACTGGTATATAAATGTATCTATATACGTACATCATGTACACTTATGATATATACAGAAGCTATGTCAATAATCAGACATCTTCCCTGTATACATATAAACCTTAAATCTGCAACCTACCAACTTCCGCGAGGAACTCCTCGAAGTTTTCGCTCCTGACCATCTTCCACGTTCCAACAAACTTTTCCTTGATGTCCTCCATTGCCTTATAAACGCTGGTTCCCAGACGTTCTCGTTTCGTGTGGAAATGTGTGAAAAATAAAATGAACGTGGTAATACACAGATATCAGCTAAATCACTGTGTGGGATACAGTCCCAGATAAAACCTAACAGATGATGCTACACATTCGGCATATAGTCACGAGGGATCAATTCGGTGAGGTATGGTTAATCTAACTGTAGTCTAGCTACATCGATTTTATACACGACTTTATGTACATATCTCTATTGACGTTGTCTGCATCAAACAGAAATAATATTTCTGCTTTAAACAGTCAATATATGTATTTTTATCACATAATGTGCTGTGATATCCAGTGCATACATACCCATGTTATATTTTTTTGCGTATTAACCAATGTAATATGACTTATCAGCCCTGTGATTGGTTGTAAGTTTCAAACGTTTCAGTTATGATGTCACGCATAGGACACGTACATGACGTCACAGACTTACGCACTGGAGTCAAACTGGCAGCTTTTTACATTTCAAGGTTGCATGCAAATTGTTGTTTTACACGAATAAATGCCACAAATCTTGATTATGTGATAAAAAGGATCTTTCTCTCGTTTTCATGTCATATGAAATTTATGAAACTCAAGACGAACTTTTCATTTTAGCTCGCCTTAAATTGAAAATTTCTTAGACTCGTTTCATAAATCTCATGAAATGGAAACTCATGTAAGATCCTATATATATTTCATCGTATGTACTTTTTCATTAAGTTTGTTTTAAAGTCAGTTCCCATAAATTGTATATGCGTTGTCTAATATTACAGATTATCATTATATCGATGGATTGATTTTTGTGCAGCTGTCAGACGTCGTATTTTAAGCAATCAAAAATTACTATATAATAGAGGATATTTGCTGGTATGTTCTTAGCTAATTCTATTTGGTAGAATTTCCATATCACAAGGTACTTTTGGATGACAGAATACAGTAAAACCTCGATATAATGTCCCTCGTTGCATTTGCCACCTCGTTTACTGCCAACATATTTCGATGTTCCTTTTTTCTCATTTTCTTAAGAATTCTTTCATACTTTTCCCCTCAATTTATCGCCAAACCTCTTTACAACGCCAATATTTCTCTAGACAATGGTGGCAGTGTAACGCGGTTTTACTGTAGACATATTAGGAAATTAAGTCTAAAATACATGTAACAAATACAAATTGTTTCCGTTGTCTGTTTATTTATTTATTTATTTATTTCCTGTTAATTTTACATTGTTCGTTTTTTAATGGATCGCTGATTTAAGTATTTTAGAAAAATGAGTATTTTAATGAAACAGAGCTTCATTCTTTGATAAGTGATAATTGTAGACTGAGTATGAGGATGCCAATTCTATTTAATTCCTCCATTTCACGTGACATACAAGGTAAATGAATCTACCAACGTTAACTTGTTTTGTTGTTTTGTTTGTTTTTAAATAAAACAAATAAGGCAAAAAGTTGAACATTACTTGGACTGTGACTCATACGCATAACTGATTTATAACAAAACATTTGCGATCAACGATGTAGTCATGTGCTAACAGTCACGACATAGACTTGAACCAAGCGAATTTAACCGATGTCTGATTTAAAATGTTTTCTAGCATGATGCGCTGCATTTATCTATGATTGTATGAATGAGGTGAGGTGAGTACACTAGTTTGTGATCGAATATCACTAATATTTCTAATACTAGAAATCATCCATTCTCTTAGCCATTAGATTTATATTTCAGTGGTGAAGATTTGATGGATTATAAATTATATATAAAACAACCAACTTACACCAATTTTATCTTTGAGAGTCTGATGTAAGATTATACCCACCGTGATAAGCCTTGTTAGTTTGATATGTGCTCATCAGCAATATATGCCGCTAATCAGGAATCTGATATGATATGTTACAGGGTGACAATCTAGGACGTTGGGCAGACTTCTGATTTCATTGCATAGGTCGCATCATCGAAACAATGGCTTTGGATCAAATCAAGGACAGCTTGGTTGGGAAATGGAAAATGGACAGAAGCGAAAACTTCGAGGAATTCCTGAAGGAAGTTGGTATGTCTTTTTCTGATCTTACATATATTCTGTTATCTGTTATTTGAAGTAAAAGGGGGAGTTTATTTCTGTTAATATTTGCATGTGTATATATGTGTGTGCTGTGTTCGTATATAGTAGGGCAGACTTTGATAAAATAACATGATATACCGCTTATACCTAGATCTAGTCTAGAGGGATGCATACATTCCTCTTTCATACTTCGAAAGTATGATTGCATACAATCATACTTTCGTTTCGTTTCTTTTTCTTTTTTGCTAAGGTTTTATACAATTACATGCGATTACAAACGAGAAGACAAACACACTCACACAAATCATCATCATCATCATCATCATCATCATCATCATCATCATCATCATAATACAATAAAGCTCCCCTTCATACACACGAACAAGCGTTAGATATGAACACCTGTTTATACCTAAATACAGTATAGTCGAAATTTTATCACAGGTGTTATATCACGACTTATACTATTTCCATAAATGTACAAAATGGTTATACGTTACAACACATGTAGATTGTAGCGTTAAAGGAAGGTATATCAGACGTTGGTATCGGATTAACAATCTCTTGAACTCGTCATAAGATATTGATACTCATACATTTCAAGGACAGAAGCTTGTGATAACATATCGATATGTGTGGACTAAAGGGGCATGTCATTGGATCACTATAAATGCTGGTTTGGAGGCGGTGAGGAAATGATATTTCAGACACGTGTTAACAGTGAAAATGTATAGAGGATATTTAATGGTGTCTTCAGTAATAACAAATATATTTCACGAGTGTGGCTAATATTTTGATATTTTACACGAGTGCGCAGCACGAGTGAAAAATAACAAAATATAAGCCACACGAAAAGAAAAAAAAAAAGAAAAAAAACCCGTTATGATTGGTCAATACGAAAAAGTGATATTTTCACAGTGTGAAAATATCACTTTTGATATTTGTCACATTGTGAAAGCTGACAGAATCAGATATTTCACTGGCAAAAATTTTGAGCACAGATTTCATGCTTGAGCACGAGAACGGTTTCATGAATACGGGCCTCGGTTTATTTGTTGTAACAAAATTGCAACCTAGTACATCATGGAGGTTTTTACCATACTACGAAAATGTCTTATTCTTGCTTATCCACAGGTGTAAATATGGTGCTACGGAAATTAGCGCCGCTAGCGAAGCCGACGATGAATATCTCGATTGAAGGGGAGACAATCAAAATTATCACTGATATTGCTGTGAGAAGAGAAGAAGACTTCTTCAAACTAGATGAGGTTTTTGAGAAAGAGAGAGAAGGAGAGATGTTTCGAGTAAGGGTTTAAATTAATATCGTTTATCATTCGAATATTTAGTTTCAATGTTAAACTAATAACATGGTTGCCATAATAAAAGACAGACATGAACTACACCAAGAAGCAGACTGAATCCATTTTTTTGGTTTGATTGTGTTTATTTAAGGACATGCTAGGTTTTGGTGGTGAAGGAAAGCCGGAGTTCCCGACGGCCAGTACCTGGTGACTGCCCAACTTAGGTCTCGAACCCGCGACCCAGTAGTGGAGGGCTAGTAGTAGCAGAATGTCAGACACCTTAACCACTTGGCCACCGCGGCCCCGAATCCATTAATAATAGAATTATTGCCATTATTCGGTTTAATATTATTTTCAAAAAAACGCGTGAAAGGGGTATAAAATATATCAATATGGTTATATGAATGTGTTTTCCTCCTGCTCAGGAAATAAAATATTTAAACCTGAAAAAAAATCAGCTTTAGATAAGGTACATTTATAACAAATAACTGTTGCTGCCAACTATTTAATCTCATGATGTTATTTCCTTTTAATATCATATACAATTTATATACACAGTTAATATGATTTACTGTATTAAATTATTGTAAAGTAATTATGTTGGGATGTTTGTTATTCACTAAGCGAGATATATTTTATTGTTTATGAAAACATCACATGATATTCTTGCAATACCGCTATTTATCATATATACGATCATAACTGACCTTTATAGAAAACAGACACTTTACTTTATTAGTATGTAATGTATGTATATTCCGATGAAATAGTAGTTTAAATTTCATTTAGAGATACTTGTTTACCATACTTCCTTTCATTATTTTTTTATCTAATATTTCTTATATAAATTTGAACTTTTAATGCAACTTGTCTGTTATTACTTACGTGCAGTTTTGTTTTTCGTACCTTGCTTTACCTGTTGTTTATTGAAAATACTGCTGTTAATGACTTGTGGACCGCATATTTGTTACAAAAAGAAAAAAGAAAGAAAAAAAAAACCACTTATGAAAAAAAATGAAATTATAAATTCTTGTTTTATGCTTTTTGTATTGTCTTCATTGCGATAGCACATTTACTGGTCCCACATGAAATGCCATTAAAGTCAGAGATGTCTTTCACTCTCTATGTACCCGGTACCTGCGTTTCTTACACGAAACACCTTCTCAACACACATACACTTTTACATTTTTACTGTTATGAAATACTTTATGTTCAGATAAACCCTCGTTATAATGCCATCTCATTTATCCCATTTAATGTCTATTTATTTTGTATTTCCCTAACATTTCATCGACAAATTTCTACGTATACTGCTAAACAACATAATACCGACAACCAATCTGCATCAAATGATGACAGTATATAGAGGTTTAACTTACTACACTGACGTTGTACCATATACTTATTTGAATTGTTCATTTGTTTAACTCAGCAATGATGATTTTTAGGGATGTGCCACGTGGGAAGACGGTAAACTGAAGATAACTGGTACGCCATTAAATTCAAAATCCAAGATGAAGGCCCCTACAATCTACAGGGAGAGAGTTGGTGACGAAATGCTTCTGGTAAGGACACTGCATACATGTAGTCAGCCTAAAAGTTCGTAATGAAAATACCTTTTATTGTATATGTCATATGATTGTTTTTAAGCTACATCCTCATTGATTCATTCATAATCACGTGACGGTCGGTGATTTATTATATTGACTCTGTGTTTCAATTTTTAGATACAATATTCACTTTATGACGTCACTCGAATTGTAACGTTAAAATGCTTTCCGCCAAATGCATATATCTAATATAAAGCTAACCACATAATTACTCACATCAACAAAAGGCCGTAATTAAGAAATATTATATAATGTTATAATATGAAAAACATTAGAATACGTAGGAAGAACGTCTTGATATTGTAGATGATTATCTATTTAGGTGTAAAAGGCATAATACAATATTAATGAGTGATAAAATATAAAACCAAACCATGTTTATCCTCAATGTTACACATCTAGGATGCTACATCAATTCACCTGTTTTTTTCTGCAGATTCCTTTTCAGAAAGATTGTGTAAAGTCAACAATGTACTGCAAAACAGATGTTTAACAGAAGTATTAGCAATTCAAATTAACATTTTGGACAATTACGGGATAATTTGGGTCAAAGCAAGGAACAGTGGTTCTTCATTTCTTACATTTTCATTTGTCAATGTACCTTATGCAGAAGTTGCCATACTTTAAAAAATGTATCAACGTGATTCGAGGAAATTTGACAAGCTTGATATTTTCTAAACAAACAACACACACATATATACAGTGGGTAAGAGAATGCGTGCTGACCCCCTTTCTATCTCTTGGTCGTCAGTCAAACTTAACAACTCTGTCGGACAGTGTACCTTATGTAGCCCGAGGAAATGTGTTTATCTACTGTCGTTTTACCACACTATTGCATAACAGGTCAGACAAAACTAAAAAAAAAAGTAAACTGAGCATGGGGTAATAATATGTGTCTAACGTTCATCCTTCAAGATACAAGATTCTGCTGGTGTAGTCCCCAAAATTTACCGTAAGCTTGATGGCCACTTTTATCTATTGTTTGGTAGTTTTTGGGTTCATGATATACCCCCTTTACTCATTATTATTTTAAATGTACTAGAGCTCCTCGAATTTTTTAATTTCTTAAAATTACGGGGTTTGTTTACACACACAAACCCGACCTTTCTGTTTTGACAATAGTTTTAGACCAATTGGGATTCTATCTAATTCTTCATTAGCATTTCTTGATAAGTCATAGGATGAATGGTGCAGCCTAATTCATTTCTGGCATTCTGTCACTATTATCAAAATGTATAGATGCAATTTCATATGTGTGTGTTCTACGTTCATCTTACAACGGGTTTGTTTCATTCTTGTTTCAGACAATGTGTGTCAGTGACGTGGTATGCAAAAGATACTTCAAGAGACTTGAGTAGCAGATATTCCCAACGAAGTACAAAGAAAATATATCTACGTAGTATTCAGAAACATCAACGTAGTACACAAAAACATCAACGTAGTACACAGAATCATCAACGTTATACACGGAGACATTAACGGAGTACACATAGACACAATCGTAGTACACAGAAACATCAACGGATACACAGAAACATCAACGGAGTACACAGAAACATCAACGGAGTACACAGAAACATCAACGTAGTTCACAGAAACATCAACGCAGTACACTGAAACATCAACGGAGAACACAATTTAAAACTTATGAACAAATGCAACGAAGAACACAAAAAGTGGGCATCACTGGCGAAATGCGTATTCTGTGAATCAATGGCATTAATCATGGATGTTTACAAAAAACTGACAACACAAGTTTTACAATTAAATCGAATAACTGTCATACCGAATATTTTTTATGTTATACTTTATTTGAATATAAAATTATTGATACAATTACGTGTATATTACTAATTATTCCTCGCATGCACCAATCAAAGCCGGCCGTGGCTTTAATTGAAAAGCCAATCTGCTGGTAAATATGTATACTCGCTGATTTGAAGAAAAGATGTATATTGTGGTTGGTTAAGTAAATAACCAAATAAAGAAATAAAGGAGTGGTTTTATTTAGAAATGAAATCACGAAAATCCGTTAAGGAGAACATTCGTCCTGACATCTTAAGCCCTATTTTACTTTTAACTCAACTGAAAATGTATCGATACAATTTTTAATCCTTGAAGGTGAAGGGCACCACTTCATCGGTTATTGCCATGAAGAAGAGTTACACTTTGATATTGATTTTATTTGGAGTAGCCTCCCTTTTATATTAAAGATCAAGCACCCAAAAGGAGTTTTTCTGGTTTAGACCAACATCCCCTGTCGAATAATTCAGTCTTTTGCTTAAATGGACATGGATAAGAAAAATCATAGAATCATGGTCGCTATCTTGTAGACTTCAGTGCAAAAGTGCAAACTATCTTTGTATTTTACCATAAATGTGCCGATACCAAATACCAGAGTCCGAAGAAACTACAAGATATACGATAACTACGGTAACGGGATACATACATACTCTCCGATTGGTGCACTTTACTTGTCCCGTAACAAGGGTGATGCTCACTAAAGTGACACAGTCCAATGACAATGTAGATCTATAATACACGTTCTCCATTTGGAAATACTAGTATATCTCTCAGTCAAGCTCACCATCACCCTTACCTTCGTCGATATCACTGGTGTGTAAGCGGTTAGGAAGTCTTATGTATTGTCAACTATGTAAGTTTTTATATAGTTTATATATATATTAGGATGATTTAGTATCTGTGTAACTTACAAATCGACATTACAGACGAAACAGGAGGTGTTAGTAGGTAGAGGAAGTAAATAAATGTCCTAATATAAAGTTGTACAAATGATGCGAATACCTTTAAATCAGATAATAAAATGCCTTTATATTCCAACATATATGCTTATAAATATTTATAGCGTTTGAAGACTACAAACCCGCCATATTAGTTTCATTGGAAAGAGAGCGATTTTATTACCTTCAAAAGGAGAGTTACAATTATTTAGGGCGTGACTAAACAGGAGCCGGAAACGTACCTGAATATATGGAATCTAATTACATAGTAAATACATAACACCGATGTTATATTTAAGCACCAAAGAACCATTATACCGCAAATGAACCGTTAAACAGCTTGATTAAATACTCGAGTATGACATAGATAAGCGTTTTTGTAATATTGTAACTTAGTAATTATGCCACCCTAGTTTGGTTTGGTTTGGTTTAATTTTGTTTAACGTCCTATTAACAGCTAAGGTCATTTAAGGACGTGCTTCCATGTGTGTAGTGTATGCGTGCTTGCGGGTGTGTATGCAGGAGACAGGGTATGTTGAGGTGCTTGCCTCCTTGTGATAGCACGGATCTGATGCCGACATTATAGTGCTATCTCACTGAAATGACATGCCGATGGAACCCAGCACAGCATTCCGCCCGGTCACATTAATCTGACAACGGGTGAACCAGCTGTTGCCATTCCCCTTGATGCTTAAAGTTAAGCAGTGAATAACAACTACCATTTGTAATAACTTTGGTATGTCCCGGCCTGGGGACAGAACCCATTGCCTTCCTCACCTGGGCGAACGTTCAACATTCAAGCCAAAAGTTATGTGTTCCCAAGCATGGCGCTAGGAAATAAAAGGAAATAAAAGCGTATTACTAGTAAACCAAATGTCCTGGGTTCGACTCTTATAGCGGAGACATTTAATAATCAATTAGCGGAGACATTTAATAATTAATTACCTCTCTTACATTTGCTCCCACTCAGCGATACTTTCAAATAAATCACTATGACCCTTCGAAAACTCGGGACCCTGAGCCCGTTTTCATGAAACCGTTCTCATGCTCAAGCATGGATTTTGTGCTCAAGCTAGATTTCTTCTCCCGTTATAAATTAATAAAAAAATCTTATTTTGTCAATGGTTTTGATAATTATTGAAGCGACTTAAGGCTGAATACTGTTTTCAGTGTTTACATTTGACGTTTTGATCGTTTGAAATGATTTAAGCGAGTTACAAGAAAACTGGTTTGAGCACAGAATCCATGCTTGAGCATGAGAACGGTTTCATGAATACGGGCCCTGGTGGGGTAAAAATACTAGCCACTTCCTACCGACTCGGCTATTGAGAATTTCTGTTTAGCTAAAGCGTATAAGACTAGAAAACCAGGTTTAACTCCTAGCGGCGGCATTGACAAAATAATGACCTTTGTTACAATTAAATTATACCAGTTAACGAGAACGTTATTCATCAATGCCTCTTTATAAGCAAAAAAATAATACATCTTCGTAATAATCCATTTAGAAAAATCTGTAGCCGATGAAATGTTTTGGAAATGTAACTTTTCGTTTACCACTGGTCGCCATGATCTTTGATATTGATAAGAATAATATTAATAATACTTTGAGGCTCTTACATACCGCTTTATCACAACCTAGTTCGTAGGTCGCCTCAAAGCGGTTCACAAATTATTATCCATGGTTATATGGCCTTTTCAACCAGCTAACATCTTTCTCAACTCCCTTGGCAGCATACAGCCGGTGCTGCCATTTCGGCGCTCACACCTAGCATTCAACAATCCTAGCATTGCCCAACCACGTACTCTTTTACAGCTGAGTAGACTGGAGCACGCGAAGTAAAGTATGTTGTCCAAAGACACAACACAGTGCCGTGACGCGACTCGAACCCCCAACCCTTCGGTCACGAGCCCGGGGTCCTACCACTAGACTACCGTGCCTCTGTGATCTGGATTTAATATGAAACATTCAACATCTAATCTGGCGTTCCCTTCGTTTTTTTATTTTTATGATTTCGTCAATAATTGCGAGTATTGTGAGTGTAAAATCAGATGTATTGGCTGTATCTTCGTGTTGTTATCAATACGTCTGTTATGTGACAATCGGTTGGTGTACATATTTCAGCGGTAACCCTATGTAAGCGGTTTTCGCGCTTTAAATTTTTGCGCTACATTATGATAGCGCTACAAGGAGTTTCTGAAGTATCGTTTTCTATTGTATACAAGGTGCTAATACGTTAACTTGCTCATTTGCTATAATTTGAGCGTGTTAAGAAATATAGGATAAGTTTTTCTCAGTTGGAATCATCACCTCATAAATTGACACAAAAAAAGAGAGAACAAATATTAATATTCATAGTATTTTTCTGTAAATGGTTTATTGCTTTTGTATAATAAGGTTAATCAGCGGATACAAAATTATTTTTCAAATGATTTATGTATGATCGGTTCAATAAAAGGCAGAAATTGGAATTTGTATGAGCCTTGAATAACCCCGCCCACATCTACCATTGATGACGTCACACAGTTGTGTCTCCTTCGATAAAAAACTGTATAGCTCCGCCCAACTTTATTGTTGGCGACGACTTGAAAACTTGTCACGTTCTATGGTCAGGTTATAAAAGGATAATTCAAGTTTACGGGGAAAATGATTACTGAGTGAATATAAGTGTAGAATATATAGGATCTTTCATGAGTTTCCATTTCATAGAGATTAATGAAACGAGTCTAAGAAATTTTAAATTTAGCGTGCCTCTAGCAAGCTAAAATGAAAAATCAGTGACGAATTTTCATAAATTTCATCTGAAATCATAACGAGTGTAAGATCCTTTTTTTATCACATATTTAAGATTTGTGGCATTTATTAGTATAAAAACGACAATTTTCATGCAATCTTGAAATTTAAAAAGCCGACATTTTGACTCCAGTGCGTAAGTCTGTGACGTCATGTACTTGTCCTAGGCGTGACGTCACAATTGAAACAATTGAAACTTACAACCAATCACATGGCTGATAGGTCACACTACATGGGCTAATACGCAAACAAATATGACATGGATATATTCACTGGATATTACAGTACATTATGTGATAAAAAATATTTACTAATAGTTCTTCCATGGACTTCGTATTCGAAGATGACAAACATACCATTTGAACGGAGATTACCGCAATTTTCGATTGCTACTTTTCTCTACCATTGTAACAAAGCTATTACTTTCTTCAAAGTTTTAGTCCCTTTTACCGTAGTATCATGTTTGGAAACCTGGTGCTAAACTTCATAAAATGTTCCTACATGACATAGCGGTGTTGGATACTATTAGTTACCCCTGCGGGTATGACGTCTCCGGCACCGAATAAGTTAAAGCAGATAGCACGTACATACATGCATACGCATAGTACGAGGTGGGGGAACACAAAAATGAATAAATTAAATAATAACGACGAAAAAAATCGTCGTCTTTGATCGTCAATGATAGGATACGAAACAAAGAAGCATACCCTACCAGGAGGGAAAGCCAGAGAAATCCTAGCCCTCGGGATGAGATTTTTTAATACCTGACCCTCGGACATGAATCAAACCTCGTTGATAAAGTGCCTCATAGGCGTCTCATTAAAATGCTTGAAGCCAATAACATCAGTGAAAGAACATGTAAATGGTTGAAATTTTCTCAATAACAGGACACAACGAGTCTGTGTTAACGGTGAATTTTCTAATTGGCATCAAGTGACGAGTGGAATCCCACAAGGTTCAGTCCTGGGGCCGATTCTTTTCTTCCTATTTATCAACGATCTTCCAGAGTGTGTGCAATCAAATTTACTGCTATTTGCGGACGACACCACAATATATCGCAGGATAGATTGTCAATACGATGCTCAGATTATACGGTCTGACTTGGACAGCTTATACACATAGAGTAGCATTGGCTGCTTAAGTTCCATCCTGATAAGTGTAAGGTGCTGTAGGGTCGGTATAGAAGCTCCCCCCGGGGAATGCTGGAGGTAGTTGAGGAGGAAAAGGATACTGGCTTGGTGATGGATAAGCATCTAAG